CCGTGCTCACGTCGTCCGCTCGGTTGGTACGCGCCTTGTGGTGGAATTCTTCTGCGGCCTAGACATAGGTTGTGATTCTCCCAGCTACTCGATTTCTTTCGCTTGCGTTCCCGCTGCTGAGGGTGGATGGCGGCATCACCTTCTGCCGGCAGGTATGCAGGATCTGCGCGCTGCTGCTACACGATTATCCAGCAAGCGAAGTTTTGAGCGCGTTGCTGATAGGACCCTATCGATAGAGTCAGACGTGCCCGTGTTTCGGTCGGCGCCACGTATCGTACGAGAATTCACCACAGCCTATCATGCCGTGCGCGCCAAGATGCACGCGTTGGCGGTCATTCCTGAGGTGTGGTTTACAAGGCCGAATGACCTCCAAAGGGGCCTTGCCGCTGTCTACCGGGCGGCTATAGCCCGAGAGACCAATCCCGATCGGCTGGGTGGCTGGACATGGATATTCTGCTTCGCGGCATGACAGGCTCGAGCTCATCGAAAAGATTGCCCCAACCTGCACGCGGTGTCTAGCGGGCACGACAGTCGCGACCACGTTTCGTGGGTGCTTCGCACAGTGCTGACCGTTATCCTTACGCCATATGTGTCAGTAGCGATGTTTTGTCCCCAGCCTCCGGTTTCGTCAGCAGGCACTCGGCGACTCTTCTGTACTACATATTACAGCATTCAACGAGAAGGGCTTCATCCTGTCGACGACTCTTGCATCTCTTTCCGCAAGGACATCAGAATTCTTGACGCTCACTGTACATGTTCCAGTGCTGTCACTAGCACTCCTCGCCTGCCAGGGTTTGGGCCACACTATAACCACAGAGGACGTACCAATACTCTGGGAAATCGATGTATCTATGGCAAACCCGAATGTTTCGACCACAAGTTTCGCAGTGATGTCGTCGCCTCCTGACGGATGTCGTTTTCTCAACTTTGCGGCCGCTTTAATCGCATTTGTCAAAAACGAAGACGGCGCGAAAGCGCTTGCGCTCTTGATGGCAGCACCGGTATCGGATATTGAACAGAGAGTGCCAAGCTCGGCACACCTGACGATGATTCTCGAAGCTCTTGTCAAATATCTGCCTCAGAACAGGAACGAAGACCTTGCGTCACGATACTCAGCAGCCGCGCGGCACCAGTCCGATCCCGAAGCCGTGGACACTGCTTCTTGGATCCGTGGTTGGGTCGTGCGAAACCACAACAACACTCACGACATCATTCAAGACGACATATCTGCGCTTCGTCGTCAAATTGGGGCATTTCTACATTGGTGCCTGAGACCCGAGTAAAAAAATCGCTGGACGAATCGGAAGGCAAAGGAGGCAGTGGTGTATTCTGATAATCAGCTTCAGGCTTCAGCCACAACTAGCGATGCTCTGATCATCATACGGAATCCTACATTTTTGTGTACCCAATGTCGCCGCTTCTGAATGGAGGTGTTCTGAAGATCAACTTAAAGGCTGTCGCTCTGTGGCCCGGCTCATCTTGGTGCTCGGAGTGGGTTAAGCCTGTGTTCAAGCTGGGATTGTGCGCTCTCAAAGACATGATCGTGTCTCCTGCGACGGGGCAGGTTTTAGTTGAGACACGTTCAGGTGGAAGAGTGCTTAACGTACGCTCCGAAGCCTCCCCCAACCAGGTTCAGTCGATGTATTGCCAGTCGCGTCCAACCTCTTCCCGTACACCAAGTTCTGATAACTACATATGTACAAAGTACAGTACATGACAAAGCGACTCTCTCGGCTGTTGGTCCACGCTTCAGTCCACTAAAGTAAATGCGGGGGCGCACTGTTTGCTGAAAGCTGATGCTGCTCTTGTGTGACAGGAGCAAACAGCTCCACAGCCGTACTGTCGGTGGATGTGGGCCCCGATCGGTAAAAGCTTACTGTCGCTCTCTAGGAAGCTCGCTGAAAGCCAAGGGCAAAGTCTGCTGGCTTCGCCGATATGGGACCTCAAGAACGCAGGAGCCACGCCGAAAAAGGCGTCGGGAAAGGTCACGTCCAAAACATGCTCCGGCCAGGTGCTCCCGGAGCAGATGCTAGCTTCATATGTCGCTGCATCCACAACCTCGTCGCATATTCTGGGCCTGGTCCAGATCGCGCCCACTGGAGGGCAACTACGGCCGTTTGCTCATTCGAAGCTCGCAAGTTGTACACTTACACGACCTATCATGGACCAGGAGCTGAAACTTTCAGGCTCTACCATCTCCTCCTGTGGTTGGTTGGTAATGTGTCCTACAATGACTAGTCCAATGCGGAATCTAGTAGTGGTAAATAGGCACAGCTGAGCGTGGGAATAGGATTTGACGAGGCTGCCTTCTGGACGGAGAGCACAATCTTAGGAGGTTGCGAAAGGAGGCACTTTCCCCTATCAGTATCATGAGTAGGTTCTCATGTAGTTGGTATTGAATGGTGGTCCTTGATTGATGTGCTACTGTAGCCGTGCATTTGTGCTTCTTGACTGCACCTTTCCACCACCAGGATCTTTTCCCCGGAGAATTAGCCTTGCCACCGCCTGTGCACTGAATGCGCATAAGCCATAGCCTCCAGCTTCTGAGGGAAGGTTTTGCATGCACGGATCTCCGCTCATGGGGATTCAGCACCATTTCAGATGTCATTGCCGAACTCGGCGACCGTATTCATCCTGTTTGCTGGACTGTGGACTCAAGCCTGACTCAAGAGCACTTCTGCCTATGCTCGCCTGCGAGACCAATGGTCGACTAATAGAAGGCAGTGGAACTGAACCATTCTCTGCCCCTCCATGTGGGGCATGAAGCGGACGGGAACAGTGCGATCCCTCTTTCGTAACGCCATCACTGGAATTCCGGACTGCTGTAGTGCTGGTATACATTTTCCTTTGTAGCAAAGTCGCCGGCCCAAACTCCCTTCTAGCTCGAGCATCGCTGGATACTGAGTTACTTTCACGGATGGCGAAGGTTGCGAGCACACAGACTTTGCTTTCATGGGCGCATAAATAGAGCCATTTGAAGTAGGTTTGGCCGTTTGGCCGGTCAACTCATTGACTCTAAGCATTAGTTTTTGAGCAGTGACTACTAACATGAAAGAGATACCAGATATGGTTTCGGAGGTGACATCTCAAGGACGGAAAAGACCAACTTCGCTGAGCGTGAACCCTTTCTTGACTTCGTCCAGCCCTTCCCCAAGCAATTTGGTACATATGTCAACCAGCTGGCAAGGTCGTGAGCTTGATACATGATAGACAGAGTGACCCCACCGAGGAGTTTGGAAATCCTTGATCGCTTTCTCAAGCGCGGTGATACCATAGCCTAAGAATGGTGCACAGGGTTCTGGGTCCATTAGGTTGTGTTTAGCCATTTCCTTTGCCAATGCACCAAAGAGGGCAGAAGAACAGCTAAAGTCGCAGCCGGTGAGGCCGCGAAGTAGAGATGTGCCCAGTGTTTCCAGTGTTCCCAGGATACCTGCTATGGCATCCTGCCTTCGAAGGTCGATTTGGTCTGCCACAATCAGAAGGGGTATGTACACAGGGTGGCAGGAATACAAACCGATCAAGTCTCCTCGGAAAGGTAGTCCAAGAGTCGGGAGAGGCCCTTTGCTCTCTGTGACAGCTGTCTTGGTGATGGTCTGGAAGATGTCATCTCGACGAAAGACCACAGCCACGAATAACCATAGAACCAGCTCGCGGTTGCACTGCGACGGCAGTTGTTCTTTGAGGGCGTCGATCCACAGAGTCGAGAAGAATCTAACAGTATTGTAACAGCTGAAGTAGTCAACTAGGACCGCGATCTTGGCAAGCTGTTCCAGGTCAATAAGACGGGGAGTGTCTCCCGTTTTGGCATGGAAAATCTGCATCAAAATGAGGAGAGCGTCAGCGTCCCAGTCCCGTGTTCGGGCATGACGACGGCCATCTCGGGATTGCACCGAGGCCTCCGCCCATGAACCGCAGAGTTGGGCCTTGAAGTAGTGTGATGAGAGAATGAGATGTCGGGACGATACGATGAATTCAACGCGTGAGACCGTAGAAACTGGGCTTTGAAGCCGAGTTTGATCGTATTTGACATCGCAAGGCGAGTCTCGGCTTTCTGGTGTTTGCGGGTGTAACGAGCCATCGTTTGCAACGGGCGAGTCGGCAGCACTCAAGCTTCGACTAACTTCATCTTCTGCAAGCGACAATTCGTCTACACCGAGGCCGCTGATGGTCGCGACCCTTGGAGACTTAGACTCTTCTTGCCTCTTCTTTTTTCTCTTCTCCTTTTTGCTCAATTTCCTGAAGCTGCCTTCTGCTTTTGGTTCTGCCTTTAATGCCGAAATCGAATTCCACGAGACTGGTCTGAGTCTTGCGTGCCCGCCTCGAAAGCGTGTTCCAAGATGCGTCGGGTTGTTAGGCTGGCTGTACAAAATGATTAGCTACGCCGTTCAACCTTATCTCCGAGCACGGGTAGTGCCATTCGTACCATAGGTTAAGTTCCTGAAGCCCGGCGATGGTGCATTGATCCCACAGGGCAAAAGCTGGATTCGTATTTTCTAGGACAAGCACCACGTCCCCATCAGGATCGAGCGTGTGCGAGCGCTCCATAGGGTCGCGTTGCTCAAAGATAAGGTTGGTAGGCGCGGTGCGTAGAGGCGCAGTCATGGCAGATGCTGGTTCCCAGTTCGGCGATGCATTCGAGCGTGGAATGGATAGCCAGAAAGGTGTTGTTCTTAGATTTCATTAATGGCTCTGGACTGCCACATAACTCATCACGGCAAACGTGACGGGCAGGCCAGGCGTTGTGTCACTATGCGTATCTTCCCACGCAAGCTTCCCTTTCGCAATACTGTGCCGTACGCGCGCGCTTAGATGCAGGTCCCTCTAGCCAAGTTGCGCTGAGGCTGTGTCGGCATCCGTATGCTTCCCGGCCAATCGCGCACTCTCGCTATGCACTGCATGACATTCCGCTCGATGAGCTGGCAGTGCCGGGGGCATCGGCTACGTATATCGAGCTACTGTGTACAAACAGTAGTTCTCCAGCCTGCCATGTCTTGAAACCCCCGTGCTCCAGTGGCGCTAACCAAGGTGCCAATCCGTTTGTCAATCCAGCAAGCAAATCGAGACATGCATTTGGGCCGAAGCTGATTCGCCTGGGTGCCTTGAGGGGCGAATGATCGATGCTATCCTAAAGTCAGTGATCACCGACTCATTGGACGGTCCTTGGCTCCACGTCCAATGGGTACACTGATTGTTGCCCCGGACTGTTTATTTCGCTATGGTCTGGGCTCTCCAGAAAACTCAAATCAGATTAGCGTGAAGAGGGGCTTGCCCTTGAACCATTGATTGGGCAGTGTTTTTGCTGACTTCGGAATATCAAGTTTCCGACAACCGCGTCGCCGACCAAAGATGCAGAAGCCCGCGAATCCCCATCCGCTGACTGACGACCACTTACCATCTGCCATGACCGGATTATCAGAACAGATCAAGCGCAATCCCATTGGAAATGGGCTTGATGATGTTCGCAGCACTTTCAAGTCCCTATGCACCAGGGAAAAGACGCCATATTCTACAGATTCAGTAGATCAACTCGGCCAGGAAGGTACGAGCCCTGGCTCTCGCTGCTTAACCCCTCTAAATTATTCATAGATCTTCGGAACCTGACCCTCCCTCTCCTGGTTGCCTTGCAAAGCCACGTCCTTTCAATATCTCTACCATCGAAATCGGGCTGCGGCAGTATACAAAGTGATCTCCTCAGACTTATCTCGGCCGCAGTCTCCGACAGCTTCGACTTCAATCGCGTCAAACCACTTCTGAAAGCGGCTTGCTCTCATAAACTCGATGATGCCACCATCTGGGATCAAGCATATAGTGCCGTTACAGAAACCACGCCACCCCCCCGAAGGATAGCTTCCTCGCTTCAACAAACACCATGGCTGCGAAGCACGAGCAGTTTCACGAACTCATCCGAACACCGCCGATACGTTGACGATATACTGAAGGAGGAGCTAGGCACTATGTACGTGGGACTTCCCGGATTCCGAGATGCGTATTTTGGAAGATTGGACGGACTAGAAGCTGCATCCAAGGGGGTTTTCGATCAGTGCCTTGATGGCCGCGAGCCTGTATTTCAAAATGGCTGGAGGGAATGGCCTCGGGATCCGAACGAAAAAAGCTTGTTGGAGTGGCTTGCCGACATCGTAAAGACGCTGGCGCTACTTGCAAAAGCCCAGAAGTCCAATACGACACATCAGCGGAGCCTTTTAATACAGCCCAACACGCCGATGCATGGTTCGACGGCGGACCGCAGACTGGATGTTGGGTTTGTCGATGATTTAAAGGGACC